GGTGTGGCTGTTTGCCACAGGCTTTTTAGGATCCTTAGCAAAAACTGAAATATTTCCTGATTTTTTTGTGTGTGTGAGCACTACATATTTCTGCGTCTGGCTAAAATCAAATAGATAGGAGGAAGGAAAAGTCACAGCAAACAAACTAAACTAAATAAACTAGCAAGTAAAGCATAAAACCATTCAAAGTGCATAGCACATGTTTCGCATGGCCCATTTGGTCCCTTAGGTATGTTTGGACACCTCTTCAAGTGAGAGCACAGAGGATAGTGAGACTGAGAAGATCTCTCTTTGGAGGTATGAAATTCTATATTTGGATCTAGATCTATAAGCAAAACAGTGATGGCTCTCAAGAAGGTCTATGACAGTAGTGAAGAGAAAAAAGAAATGGAAGGGAAAAATTGCATGAATTTTGTCCCACACTTCTAAACCACAAAGGTAGGGAGACAGTGGAATGTTTATGTCAATAGCTGGAGACAGGCCATGTTAAAGCCAAAACAACAAAAAGGAAAAGAACCGGGGTGACTGTTCTAATCCCTAGCTTCCTCTTTTGATGTTCCTATACATATATTTCTTTTTGAAGAGGAGGAAAGCCTACAAAACCGTAAGGAGGAGCTGTAATCCATCAAGGGGTCCGACCAGGCTGTAAACCAGCCCACAGACCACACAGGCTTTACAGCTGGCTGGATTTTGGGTACGTGGAGGATAGACATATTTATAATTTAGCTTCAGGATTAAAATAGCCACTTGGGAAGAAGAAAAATAAGACATCAACTGACAATAAAAGCCATCAGGACTCTGCTACACAGCATGAGTATTAGTATTAATTTGTTTACGTAAATACAGGCAACAAACATTGAAAATGTAGACTTTAGAGATGGTGAGGAAACCTGGTGGTGCAGGTAAGGGCTTGACTCTTTTTTATGGCAGTCAGCTATCTGCCTACCCTCCCTCTCAGTTTTGTTGTCTTTAACTTATGTTTACCTAACTCACAGAATCCATTTATATTTGCACATTGTTTTAAAGTTATTAGATGGAAAGAAACTAGGAAGGAGGTTATTCTGTGAGTGTGGGTTGGTTTTTGGTGTGGGTTTGTTTAAAATGAAAGTGAAATGGGGCTAGAGTGTGGGAAATTCCTTCCCTCAGCAGTCACTTAACAAATTGGCCATTTTTCATCCACGTTGAGTGGGGGAAAAGACTGTCAAAGAATTTTAAAGGAAAACACTGCAAAAAGTTATTAATTGAAGAAAGATCTTTGGCCTTCACTATTCCAACCAATGAAAGCAAAATTTATGCATCATTATTTGGGATATGGTTTCCTAAAAAGGCTATAACAAGTAAAACTAGGCAGACAGAAGATAAAGCAGGAAAACACTAAGGTATGGAAAAATCAAACCCTGGATACTGTAACTCTGTCAATAGTCAACATTTCCAACACATGCATTTTTAATTTGCATTTCATTTAGGAACATAAGATTTACTATCGTGATTTAACCATTAGTCAACTAAACCAAGGGGGATCCTAAATACTTCTTACAGAACACCACACATACACGATCTTGGATCTTTTTCCTCCCTGTATGCAGACTATTCTTTGTATTACAACACACATTTATTTCATCCATGCAGTGTTTACTGTAATATCATTGCAGTCTTATCAGACTACCTACTTCACAGTGCTACCAGAGCCTGCCTGCCTCTACAGTCGAGAAAAGAAGGAATCTGCAATAACTGAGCTGGGCATCTATAACCAACAGTCTGAACATTACTTAAAACATCACAGATTATCAGCACAGAAACATCTAGTCTGATCCCCGGTGTTGCAGAGACCGCTCCTAAATTAACTTGTGTTTTAACTACAGCATCTGCTGAGAAATCCAGTTTGTATCTAGAACCCACAACTCCTGTATAATTACGCTGATAAAAATGTACAGTCTGGATTTGTTCAGCCACAAAGGCCAGCCAATGAATCTTTTAAAGAAATTCCTATTCTCCATACAGGCATTTGTGAAGGGGTCAAAAACACCCCAAAGCAAAACCAAATCTTGCTCTGTCTGCCTACTCTTTGTTAAGCCAAATAAGATTTTTCTTGAGATCTTCAAACCTATTCTCAATCCTCCAATGTTGGGGTTTTTTTTATGTTTCACCTCTAATCCTCTTTCTCATCTCTCAACTTGCTCCTTGGATTCTGAACAACAGAACTAAGTATAATATTTGGGCACAACACCAAGAGCTGTTACCTACATTATCTGTCCTACTAGATACACCCTGCCTGTAGATGTCACTGCCCTTTTAGGCAAAGTACCACACCGAGCGTTCATTGTTCCCCAGACTACTTGACAGAAAAACGGCTTCCCTGGAAAGTACCCTCCGTCATCCATTCTTTATCCCTATAAATATAGATAAAATCCATACACTTGACAACCCTGAAGCACACACAGTTTGCTAACACAATGTTTAGCACAGTCAGCACCTGAGAGGGATGCACAATTCTCACAACTGTAGCTCAAAGCACAATTCTGAGCACAGGAATAAGTATTCCTGACTCCTCCAGTGACCCACTTTCTCACTGAAATGTTAGCATTCACTGTTCTTAGCATAATCAACACAATATTAAAGTCATCTGCACCTACTTCTTTTTCTCCTTTTTTATAAATACTGCCATAGTAGCTTCAGGTATTGCTTCAGTATAAAAAGAGAATACACAGAGATGCCCTGGATGTCACAGGAGACTTCAGTCAAACTCTTAGGTCAATAGACCTCTCTTGTCAGGTCAGGCACACTAATCCTTTTAAAGTGCTTCTTCATAGCTTGCCTTTGTGCTTCCATGGCATTTCCTTAGCTGCTGTTCATTTAATCAAGCAACTTCAGGTGATGTCCAATTTCTTGTGTTTGGATTCAACTCTTAGAGGACCCTGAAAACCAGGACTCAGATTTGCTTGGCTTGTATGTAACTTTCGTTTGGCTGATGGCTTCAATTCTTCTAGCCATTTTACACTGCTTGCCGTCTTTCAGCTCTGAGGGGCCAGGTGTACCTCTGAGGGATATTTCAGCCCAGCCAGCTGCACCGCAGTGAGTCCTTCCAGGTGACTGATCAGGTTTGATGAAATCTCCTCCTCCAAGATGGAGGCAAAGCAGGTTAAGACAATTCTTTTATCACAGTTCACTAAACTCTTCCTATTTGTAAGCAACATGAACTATTGTAACCCTTCAGATTTCTAATTTAAGCCACACCCCCATTTTTGCAAACTTTTTCACTTATGATTAATATTATATTTTCCAGAAGTATTTCCTGCTCTTCTTCAAAGATTCAGTCTGTTTCAACTGCAGGCAAAGCTATTGCCTGGACCGTGATAGCAAATGCTTATCATGTGGTATACACAATTGTGTGTATCTCACGTTGCAAAACTGGGGTCTAGTGTTTTACAAACTCCTACCAAAAAGCATAAGCACAGCACAGACAATATTCAGGTTAAACAAAAAGCTGGAAGTGGATTAAAAATATTTCAAAACTGATTCTGAAGTATCATATGAGTTGTCTGGCCCCTATCCATACTGCCATTTGAAAAGAAATTCCAATCTAGCTCTTTACTACCTTTTTTTGTCTGAAAAAAAAATAAAGCTCTGCAATATGCCTGTGAAAAGGAAAGTGCATTTGCATATATACTGGATTCAGTTCCTTACTAGATATGTCTTTTCTTGGCTGGGCAAATACATTTCCTCTCATAAATGTAAAGACTCTGCCTCCTTGTATAGCATTTTGTTTGAAACCACCCAAGAACAGCTCACATAAATAGTGCACAAGTAAGCACAATGGGCTCAACATCCTATAAGCAAAACTCTTTACTCTGCTAAACTGAAGTTTTTCAGGTTTTGGCAGAAAGATCATTTTAGAACTTCAATAAACGTACATTCAAGTCATAAGGCTTTTCTCAACTAAAGATTTACATGGGCCTCCTTTGTATCCGCCACAAAAGTATTTTAAGAGTTTGGAAATTCTAGAAGCTTTCCTCCTGCCTTACTCAGCCACTCAAGCTTGATCCTCATTAAATCCCCTGACATGTAATATATTCCAGTGTACAAGAAGCCCTTCATTACTTCTCCATGCTTAGAAGGTAATAAACCCATTTCAAAGGATGGAAGTAGGAACTATTGCAGGTGTTTCCTTACCACTCCATGCTGAGCCAGGAAGGTCGTGCTAATGCAGTTTGAATGAGCCAACGGTATGCTCCAGTAAGGACTTGAGAAAAAGCATTTTTAGATTCCAGTTAGGAGGGTTTCTGCTCTTTGCAAGAAGGTTTAGGAAGGAATTTATCCGAAATGCAAGATGGGCGCTGGAGATACTAATTCCATTCCTAACTCAGTTACCAACTTCTGTCACCGCGGGCTTAGCAGGTGACTGCACATCTGCTGAGCTGGGCTAACTGCCATGGGTGCACTCTGAAGACCACAACTGAGCCTACAGTTTCTTACACTGCCTTTGCTTCTCCACTTCTGAAATGGAGATAATGAATTTAAACAGCACATTGTCAGGCTCATTTTATTTAATAAATGTGGACCTCTGAGATCTCAGGTGAAAGCCGTGTCCCAAAAGCTATTTTCCTACCATAATTTAAACAGGAACTATTTTTATTTTTCAAGATTCAGAACAGATGTATATCAGACTCAGCTCAGTACTGGGAATATTTCTGAAATATATCTAGAGAATGTTCATGCACAACTATGAATTTCTCTGACACCTTAAACTTCAGTATTTTTTAGTGTATTTTACCATGAAGCATCAGTATTTTGACTCAGAAAAGTGGCCATGTTTGTGAGCACAAGTACTGCAAATTGGTAGAACTACTTCCAGTAAGACAACCAGGTTGCTTTAAAATGGGACTAGATTCTTGGTTAATTATACACTCACGGACAAAGTAAATGTGCAGTTGGACCCTTCTCTTCTGGCACTGAAAGGACTCCTCATGGATTCCTGTTCTTTGGTTGTGGCCCATTCTTACCTGTGTAATTAGGAGGGCAGAGACAGACATAGTTGTTGATCCCATCCACACATGTAGAGTTATTCTCGCAGTCGTTATCTTCGCAGTCATCTGGGTTTATTTCACACCGCTCCCCCTCATACCCAAGGAGACACGAACAGCTTTGAAGAAAGCAAAAAATTAATAAAAGTTAGCATGGATCTGAAGGGGCAGGAGGTTTGAAGTATAAAACCGAAATTAAAACATATAAAAGTGAGTTGCTGGAGCCAAATTCATCGCTGCTGTGACAGAGCACTTTAACCCTATGTGTTTGGTGAAGGATGCAGTCTGACGTTTCATGGGGTCATGTAATTATTTACATGAGACATAAAAGCATCAGCAGGAGACAGCTCTGTTGTGCTTCTCTTTGCTTTCTTTGCTGATAACCCTAGCCCTGAACTGCAGTAAGCAACTCCAGGGCAGGAGAGTAAACACTCATCACAATATTCAAATCCTTGGCTTCTCTGTTAATGATTTTGTGCGTATGTGGACACTTGCCTACCAAGGACTGCACAATCATGGGGCAACTTGGCAGCTTTTAGATAGCTCACTCTCTTGAAAGAACAACGGCTTGAACTGAGTTTACAGACATGAACATTTTCTTCTCATTACCACTTTGTCACTTGTCCAAACAAGAAATGTTTGGGAATGATTGCTTTTACAAGTGCAGTAAGGTTTCATTACTTCTGCAGCTCTTCCAATATCTATTCGTAGAAGAGCTGATGATGTCTAGATAATTCAACTAAAACACAAACAAACAATGGCAGAGCTAGTAATGGTTCTGTGAAGATGTGGACACTATTGAAGAATAATTGCACTAAATATTTTATCTCACACGAATGTGATGTATGATCCCTAGAGGGAGTGTATGAAACTAAGTGGTTGAAGAATGACTTTAATTTTTTTCAATCTCCGCTTCCTCTCTAGATCTAGAAGTTATGGTTGCTACGAGAACCTTTATATTTTAAACTAGCTGTAAGTGATGAAGAGGTGGAGGCCACAGTTTCCTAAAAGAGAGTCTAAAAACATGTGTCAAGTGCTCCAGTCATTTCAGTGGCTTCTAAGAAGCCAGCAATGATATTTGAAGTGTCAGTATTGTGTGTGTGGAAGGGAAGGGCTGCTTCGAGTCCCAGTCCAAACTGCGCATTCACTCAGCTGTTCATTTCCTTTCCCATGCAAGCTCTGGTGGCAGAAAAACCCCCTTGAGCAAATGTAAAGCACTACTGATTGTTGAGGATGAAAACCACAAAGCACTAGAGCAGTCACATTAATTGCCATCCACTGCTTTCTGAAGCCAGGAGAATTTTCAGTGCAGAGATAGCTGCAGGACTTTTTTCAGCTCAGATAGATAGAAAAAGTGAACGAGGCGGTTATCCTGCTTTACGTAGGTGTCATGGGGTTGAGGTGGAGAATGCCCTGGAGAAAGAGGAGATCTTCAGAATTTGTGAAGAAAACTGCAGCACTTTTGGGCTGGTTGCTCAACCGGCTTCTCTTTTTGCTACTCTTCTTCCTGTGTGCCACAGACTGAGCAGAGCGTGGGGACTCCCAAGGGAGGGATGGCACAGAGCCCCACCTGCATCCACCTTCAGTAGATCCTAGGTTGGACCCTGAGGATAAGGTTAGATTCCTCATGACATGGGCAACCTCAGAAACTAAGGGAATAACAAAGAGGAAGAAAAAAGGGTAGGGAATGTGTCTTGAGCCACCACAACAGTAAGATCTTCTAGATGGGTACAGAACAGGCATATAGGTCACATGCTAAACAGTCATCTTCATTCAGTTCTGCAGGGACCATTCACAGGTCGTGAGAGTTAGAAAACCTTCACCGTGAATAACCAAAACCAAACTGCTCAAATAAATCCAATTGAGGACACAATAAATCAATAAGAAATATTTTCTTTTCCTGTCTCAAGCTAAGTATTGCTAATAAAATATGTCCTCTTGCTGACCCTGCAACGATCCAGAGGATCACAGGAGACAGATAAGAAAGAAGAGCTGGCACACCATCTTTTGTGGCAATGCAAGTGTCAGGGAGGGGGTTAAAGACATCTAATTAAATACAGTGGCACATTCATCATGTCTCCCTTTTCGATTACAAAACCCCATTTTCAGGGGTTTATAACTCAGCCATAAAAATATGCTCCAGGCTGCAACTTGGCATCCAAGGTCTCCGTTTGGGAGCACAATTTTTTCTCTCCATTTAAAGAAAAGCAACAAGAGTGGCTTTGTGCTGGTTATTTTTATGTGAATGTAACACCATTTTCCTTCCACAAAAGGACTGGGACAGCTTGGATGTATGCAATTAAAAATGACTTTATTAAATACTATCACAGTAATGGTTCAAGTCAGTAGAGTTACCATTAGTAACAATACATATGGGATTGTTAACATACAATTGCTCAGTATTAGGACACATTCCATACTGAAGGAAATGTCAACATAATTGATGACATTTGGCTACTGGTCCCTATGTATTATAGGGAGTCTTTACATTATTGCTTACGTATGATTCTTTATTTTGATTTGCATTCAAATGTGCCAAATATGAGAACCGAAATTAAAAGATAAAACATACAATTTGGGACCCGGATTGAACCATATGTTGAAAGAGTTGCAGTTTGGGACTGTTTGTATGTATTTTCCCAGAAAAAGCTTAGAAGAAAAATGAAGTTTGCAGAGTGACTGGAAGGTCATCAAACTTGGGTTCCAGCTGACCGAGAGAGAAAATTAATTCCAGAGACAACGATGAAAACTTTGTACTGACTAAATAGTGAAGCAGTGTGAGACAGCATTTCGTTTGGACCTCGGAAACAACGGAGCCATGCAGGGAAGAACTATTTTCTAAGACACTGTGATTGCATAAAGGTCCAAATTCCCTACTCTTCCAGTTTAGAAATTTTCTGTTAGCATTGTGTTTTCCTAAAAATAAAGAACTAAATAAAACCCCATTATCTTCATGAAGGCGCAAGGGAACACTGAACTTAATAACAACATTTTGGGGGTAAACTTTTGGAGCTGCAGGATATTGACAATTTTATAAGTTTACTATATTCAAAATTATTTTTTTCATAAACTCTAATGAAACAGTTTATCATCTGTTTATTAAAATAGACATACATACAGTGTATCATGTTTCAAAAAAAATCAACTGTTAAGTAGAGATAGTAAATTCTTTCAGGAATATTACAGTTTCTTGGTAAAGGAGCTTTTTACATCTACATCCCAATGGAGCAGCCTGTAAGTCTGGAAGTGCGATGTTTTTCCTTGAACTAGACAGAATTAACACTAGGGAGTTAATCAGTTCCAGGATTTTACATTTATGAGGGAACTTAAAGTTTGTGGAAAATGCTAAAGAAAACGGTCTGGAAAATGGAGGGGGGTTTATATGGAGAAAAGTTAAAATAATCCAGAGACTTTGTTTCCCAACACTGTAGGTTATCAAAGATCAGGTGGTTGCTTATGGCTAACAGAAGGAGAGCTGACAGCTCTGCCTCCTTTGTCAAAGTCTCACTTACAGGCATGCTAAATGACCAGGACATGTCTGATTGACCATCTCATTTTACCAGTCTCAATAAGCACCTTTTTAGGCAATCTTTTGTCAAAGAAAACATTAGATTAGAATGAGCAATTCAAAGGGAGGAAAAACTTGATGTTTCTAATCCCCTGAGCCACATGATGTCCCTTAACTATTCTTTAGTACGGAAGTAGTCCCTGAAAATAAGAGAATGTGTAAATTACTCAGCATCGAAAAAGTGCAAGAATGAAAGATGCCAAGAAGGACTGAAGAACTCCAGCTGAACCTTTGCCCTTCGGCTGCCCCGCCAGGACCTGCTATTACAACAAATCTGAGCGGCTCAGTCCCCTGCTGCTTCGAGTCCTTGTGGGTACCGGGCACAGCAGGCGAGTCAGGCTGGAACCTCAGTCATAACTAAGGATTTCCTGTCTTTGCCTAGGGAACATCACCACCTTAACATTATTTAAAAGGTAATTTTCTTGTCTAAGACTACAGAAACTTGAGAGTTAAACTGCTTGGCATTTCATAAGGAGAAAGCTTTGGCTTAAGTTTCCTTTTTACAAGAGTAAAGATTTGACAAATTTGGCAGCAGAGCTTGTGTATGAATATATTTCCCTAGGGAAGAGAATATACAGAAGATATAATTTCTTTTACAGGCCACACAACAGAAAAATCCAAGGAGGCCTCTCATGAAAATGTTTTTGACATCCACTTCCTCGCAGCATATAATCTAAGACAACATTTTCCCATCTTGATGAACACAATTTATACGCACATAACTCTGACTGCTGCCATCCACTGGAGACAAAATTTCCCACCAAAAAACGCCCAAACCAACCAACCAAATTCAATCTCAAAATGTTTCTTTATCTCCCCCTTCACTGACTGTTCCATCCCACACCACATTTCTCTAAGACATGCTGAAGCCCCATGGTCTTGTTCTCCAGAGCAGCTGGGGCTATGGACTGCCTGAATTAAAAACATGGAGAGAAAACAGAGCAATGCATAAGCTGAACATTCAATTTTATGAAGCAAGATTTTGACGAGATATGGTTTTATATGTCTTTTATTAGACCAACTGAAACTATATAAATAACTATAAAAGCAGAAACCTTCCCTAAAAAAGCCTCAAATGTTGTTACGCAACAAAACCACCCCTGCAGTTTTGTAAAGGATCTCAAGAACGACGTCCATTTGGAACTGAGGCAAAGCCTCTGAAATTGTAAAATTCTTCACGAGAAAAATTCAGAAGTAGCTTTCATTTCAGGTCATTCAAAACTTTTTACTTTCTACCATAGAACAAAACAAAAATACTAAAGAAAAACCTTATCCAAAATATAAGCTGAAGCCTTTCATTCCAGTATTATGGATATTATAAAATGCTTTACTTGCATATTTTTAATATCAGCTAGATTTTTGAAAAATGAGTACTGAGTGACAGAAAACAGATATTCTAACATGGTACAATTTTGCTTTGGCACAAACTTGAAAAAGCTATCTAAACAGTATTACATGAGGGTGACCAGAAGGGAACCCAAACTGAAGACCACCAGACCTTTAGTTCTCTCAAGCAGAAACCAAACTTGAACTTTTACTCCAAAAATTTCTGGGCTTGCTAAAATCTGAATCAAGAAGAGGTGTATCAGATGACAAGTACAGAGTAGTGGTTTCACCAAAATCTCGGAGGCCCTGTCCAGCAGCGTGACTGTTTGCATGTGCTACAATCTGCAGAGTCTCCTCATCCTCTCCCACCACCATGTACCAGTAAGACCCTCCAGATGCATCTCTACGCAGGAGATGCGCTCTTCTGCTCTGCTCAGGGCCTTGCCACAGCTGCTCATGCTGAGCTCTGAACTGCCCCTCATGGAGATATGGCCACATGTATTTTACTCCTATTCTCCATGTTGGAAAGCCTCAGATTGTTATTTGTAACACAGCCTGAGAGCGTCCCTTCATCCCCATCAACCTGCACTTTTCCATTGTAATATCGTCAGTGTCCCTCTGTGTCCAGCATGTGCTGGCTCTGTTTCTGTAAGGGAGGGACTCTTGAGGGTGGGGAGCACAGAGACAGAGAGAAGCTCTAAGGCATTTCTTTTGTTTTTTCTTCCCCACTCATCCCACCCACACGGCAAAATGGAAGCTCTTTTGTGCCGCATTTCCACTGGAGGGATTTGGGGAGTCAAAAAGAAGCCACAATGCTTTGCTGGAAATATAAAACCCATCCTATCATTGGTACGGGAACAGGAGGGGGGTGCTAAACCCCCACTGCACCTAAAGTCCTGTCAGTCACCCAAACTTACACCAGGCCCTTTCTTTTTTGAAAAAAATCCCATTTTCTGACGTAAGATGATATGGGTTTGCTGACTTGGTTAACCAACAGTTAACCTTAGTTGGAACAGTCTTAATCACAGCTGAAACTAAACTGGAATCAAACTGAAAAAAATGTACTGGTTTGATTCTTTGCTTACACCCTTTATAAACCTTGCAATTCTGTGTCTCCCTCCAGCTGTTGCCGATAGGAAGCTATATATAGGAGAAGAAAAAGCAGCAGCCTCAGTAATATATAAAAGCTTTTAGAAGCAACGCTTTCATATATGCAACTGAAGCAACAGCATGGTGTACTTTTGTTCATATTTTGTTGAAGAAATAGCATAAATACTGAGGACCAATCGATGAAACTTCATCAGCTCTTTAAAAAAAAATAAAAAAATCTATCAACTTTAATGACAGCTAGGGGTCAAAGCCTCAAACTTGTATTTTCTTGGCTGTAAAGTAGTGCCTGTAGCCGCACAAATCTCCCAGTTTCCTCACAAAAATTTCTGGACTTCTCTGGGAGTATCCCCACCTACGCTACCTCTTTCTTATGCGGGAAATGTCCAGCTGTAAAGGTTACTCTCTTGCAGGCACAATGCCCAAGATGTGGCAATCTCTCCATGTTTTTTTAATTCTTTCTTTAAAGTCTGTTTGTCTACAAGATTCTTCAGTATGAAAACATTTTGCATCTGGTTGTCAAGCAACAGATGCTTACTTTACAAATAGAAAAACCGGGTATATATGAGTTTGAAATGCCCCAAGGAAAATTAGCATACAGATAACACAATGCAGAGCAGGGAGACCACTCAAAATAGCTTTTAAAAGTATACTCCATTACGAGAAAATAAGGAGGCCTGATTCAGAGGAAACAATATGTCACCAATGAAACCAGATTATTTTTTTTGTATGGTAAATAGAAGCGTCACATGCAGCAGCTTTCATAAAGTAGCCATTATAGTTCACTATTGCAAAGTAGAAACACATTTAATTTTATAATCTCATTTTAAAGGAGCTTTGTGTTACTACCTGAATCCATCTTTATTTGCCTCAGTGAGGTGGCAGGTTCCTCCATTCTGACATGGATTTTGAATGCAGGAATTAATGGGCACACTGCAGTCTCGACCCTATTTGGGAAAATTCAAAAGAAACAAGGTTAGTAAGACTCGTCATCTGAATCAATCTCTGCTGCTCCCTCACCCTACGCATGACACCATTTACAGGAGGTCTGTGGTCTTCAGAGCCATGACATCACCTAATGTTCTTTATTGATGGACAGATATATTCATTACTCAAGTGAGAATTTGGGTAGCGCAACTGTTCTGACCAATGGGCCTGGTGGGTATCTTGGTATCATTTCAGTTGCAAGATTTTAGTTAACTCTTTCATTTAACTGTTTTAAAGAAACAGGTGGTTTCATCATTACTCTAACACACTTTAATCTCTAATATTAGTTACAATGAAAAGAATTAATCATGACCAAAGGTAAGCAGAGGGCCACACACAGTCAGCACAAGACCACATAGAGTCAGCACTCATTCAACCGCATTTACCAAGTGCTTGGTGAAACACTGCAACAGTACACCATACTCCTTACTACGCATTGTCAAAACCTAAAGGGGGAAATTAACTTTTATTGTGGGAGCTGAGTTTGAATTTCTCTACAGAACACACTGAATCCTTCTGAGATATCATCGTTGAATCAGTTCCCTTCTTAAAGGTTGCCCCAAAATATACATCAGTTCCAATTGAACTTCACTAGCTTGAACTACCTTTACCGTTACCAGCTGACTTTTTATTGGCTCTTGAAGGCATAGCCATATTTCTCTGATCATTATATTCTGTTGATTAGAACAAGCTATTTGTAAATTTGACAAATACATCAAAGAGTTTGGTCTTGCTTTTCAGTTACACAGTAGGGTGGAATAAAGACACCTGAAAGCCTCAGTGCTCAAGGGATCTGTGCAATCACAAGACGTTCAAGAGATCTCTCTACTCTTCCTACCAAAGATCACGTTAGCAGTGGCCCTCTGCCAGCTCATCTACTGGAAAGCTGATGCATGACTGCAATCAAGATAAGAACCGTATCTCAGGAGATACATTAATTCAGTCAAGGTTGCTGGTTTTTTTCACCTTGGTTTAAAAAACATTATTTACATTGTATTTCAGAGAAATAACAATGGTATATCTATTTGTCTCTAAACAAAGAGGGTAGATGCCAGTCTGTGACATCAGTTTGTAGCAGCTGTAACGTTGGTGTATTAGTATTAAACACTACCACTGCCAACTTTCCTTGCTGACAACACTCATCAGAAGTCATTCCTTTCTCCACCTATTTTGCAACAGTTTCTGACCCTTTTCAGACTTTACGTACCTAGTGTGATGTACTAGAGCCGGGGGACACTCAAATAGTTTCTATAGTCTCATTTTTTTTATGATGGCTGTGTTGCCAAAATGATGCTTGACAGTGCTTTGCTTGCCTCAGGATGAATGCAGTGGGGTTAAAAAAATGTCATAGAAAAGGACTACCAAAATGTTCAAGGAGATGGAGCTTTAGAAGAAGATACTATAAGGACTAGGACTCTTTAGTCTGGAGAAAAGAAAGCTGGTGGGGGTGATATGATTGAGGTTTACAAAGTCATGAAGGTGGTGAATGCAGAATTTGTCACACACTGAATCCCTCACCTGTAGAGGGACACTTACTGATGTTAGAAGATGAGCTTAATACAGATAAAACTTCTTCCAAACTATGAACTTCTGGGATGTTTTTGCCACAAGAGGTTGTGAAATCAGATAGTATAAAAGTAATTAGACAAATTCATGGACAATAGGTTCAAACCAGATATGAAAGGCACTAGGCAGACATCAACATCCCCAGTTGGATGATGGCGGGTGCTGGGAGAACTGGAGAGGGGTGGTGGCCAGGCTTGTGTACTCTCCTCAAACAGTAAAGATTTCCTGCTGCCCTGTGACACACAGAATGCTGCAGTAAATGCACTACAGACCTATTATGGTATTTCTCATGTTCTGTCAAAGTTGTTTGAAAAGCTTATTTGGTTCTCAACAAGGAGAACATTCCCTACCTTTCTTTCAAAAGAACTCAGCTGCTCCCTGAACCAAGACAATGTGGATTTGTGCACTATAAGGGAATAGATCTCTCGGGGAAAACCACACCAGGATGGGTTTGATCAGTTTGTCTATGGCTGCATGTTTGTTTGGGAAATCTCGCTCTTGAGTGAAGAACAAATAGGCTGCTGACATCTTTCCTTGTTCATCATTGTCCACCTCTCTCTTAGATCCTACATTGATCAGAATTTCATGCTCAGCTCTTGACTGGTGTGCCTATTTCCAGCAAGGTGCCCAGCCTGGAGGTGGCAAGCCAGCAGAACAGGGCCTGTGCTGGGTCTGTGACAGATCAAGCTCCATTCATGCTTTAAGTACTATATAAATAATCATAGCAATATTAATTTAAAATCTTAATTGTCTCTGGAGCGCTTATCTTGAAATTGGTGCAGCCTCAAGTAAGCCTAATCAAGGCATTTATAAACCTCAAACCAGCTTATAAATGTGAACTTTTCTACAGAGTTCATTTGTTCTGGTCTGTCTACTCCCGGCACTAGGCTCTCCCATTCACCCGTCACACAGCTCAGTCCTCCAAATACTACTGAAGTCTTCAGGATTTTGTCAGGTAGGACATACTGCCATCGTACTGTGAGAACCACCGAGACACGCAGTAATTATACTTTACCACAGAGGAGCTTTGTTACAGAAATGGGAGATAAAGCCGTGTTTCTTGAGGCTCTGTCCCCAGCATTCCCCAGGGAGAGGAGAAGCAGCTTTGCATTCTAAAATTTGTGCAAATACAAGGAAACAGGGACATCTTTTTTCCTTGGTTGAATCAGAAGAGGAACGTTTCCAAGAACAACAGAAAAACCTGGCCAACCCCCTGCCTCACTGTGAGCTCCCTCCCCCAACGCAGCAGTGCAGGCAGCACGCGAAGACCTCACCCAAGTCCTGGCAGAGAGGGTTTCTGCTTCATCCATGCTGCGTTTGCCAAACAGCCTGTCCTTCTCCATTTGAAATCCTCAGCCCCCAAATGTCTCAGGGAAGAGCTGGGAAGGCGCCTAGGGAAGCTCACGCAGGTTTTATTTTGGCACCATGTGGTCCGCAGCACTTCACGGATGTGAGCCATGCAGCATCAACGCTAATCTGCTGCCACCTTTCTGCAACATTGCCTGTGTTTGTCCATCTGTGTGTGAATCCCATGTGTTTACCACGTTATCCTAGTGAAGCTGGAAGACGCCATTTTTTATATTTCTAATATCACAAATACTTTTCCTTTGTCCCTGAAGAATTGACTATTTTATAGATACTTCACGAACATCAGTTATTTGTGTTTCATTTGAACTCTCCATCCCTCTGTCACTAAATATTAAACCCTTTGCAGCTAAGCACAGCAAGAAGCAAAGCAGAAACCACAGCATCTGCTTTTCTGAAGGTTTTTGTCACAGTTGAACACCATGTACAACAGTCCCATCAATTCTACTGTAATTACTCAGATTATTTTGAACGTTCTTGTAAAAATTTAATAAAGATTAATGTTAAAATGAGAGCAAGGCATTTTCAGTCTCTCTCACTGGCACATGAAATTTTTCATGACTTAGACTCAGCTCTCATTTCTGTACTGAACATGGCTGAATTATTGGCTTCTTGGGCCTCAGGCACCATGGAAACCGATTAGTATGTGCTGCTGAATCAGACTTAATTACAACACTAAGTTGCTGTGTGGCTATAGGAAAATTAGAGTCTCTCTGACTCAGTTTACTCATTGTAATAAATAGGCAAACAGTATTTAATCTTTCTCTGAGGATTATCTTCTCTGAGTTGACTTTATCAATAGCACATGGAGAGCCCACAAAACAAGTACAATTTCTCTAACACAGAAGACTCTGAAAAACAAAGACTTCGGAAAGGAGAGAAGCTGCAGAAAATATTCGTACTAATAAATCTAGAGCAAAGCAAGGCCATTTTATTTCTGTACAAGACTGTCACTACCCAGAAGAGCTTAAAGACATTCTAGAAACATCTTTCAAATGAATAATGCAGTTCTCTAGTCTCAATTTACAGTAAGACTGTTCTTACCGGAAAAATGGAATTGCTGTCAAGCATCACTAAAATCAATTTATCTGTGAGTTGGGAAAAACTCTTTGAATTACATTCTCTAGAAATAACTGTAGTTATTTGTTCCACTACAAAGGAGAATATTGTTTATTTGCTTCAAGACTAAAGAGTCTTTTAATAAAATCTGAACCAGAAAAAGAGGTGCAGACTTTGTTTCAAGGACAGGCAGGAAGATATGACTGTCTCAGCAATTCACAGAAAGAGGATGAAGGTTCCTCTGTGTGCAATATTTTATTTCTAGAGCTTTTTTAAGCTGCAATAAATTTGTGTCTACTCTGATAGGAAAGCATCAGATCAAAACCACTCTTATACAATTTCTCTCATTTTCTGCAGGAGAGGAAAGGATTAGGCGTTGAAACATAAAATTTCTGCAACTAATCAGAAGACATATATGTTCAGAGTCCAGCTGTTTTTTTAAAATCTGAAGTACCTCAGCTAGTCCAGATTTTATCTGAGCTGCTCCAGCTCCATATTTCAGTGAATGAGAACAGAAACTATCCAAACTATCCACCATACTTAGAAAGTGTCAGTTCTTCATTTCATACTCAACAGTAATTAAACATACTGGGCATGAGTGTATATACAAGCTATTCCTCGGTACTGCTGTGCCAAATACTAGCCTTTACAAGTATCCAAGACTGGAAAACATTACATCATGATTAGTAAAACACTCAAGAACAAGTAGCAAAAACTAATAAGGACCTCGGCAGGAAGAACAAAGGATAACAGGGGAAAAAAAAAAAGCGCACTCATTTGCTTTGACACTGTTTCAACCACTGCAGTGATTATTTTTTTTTTTAAATTAATTTTCACAAATTAGTATTGTCTATGGACTGAAAGCTTCATTCAAGGTCGCATGGCAGAGATTTCACCTCTGTCCATTTTAATGTGATCCTTCACCCCGTTTCTAACAGCAGCAGGCACAGATAAGAGGGGGCAGCATGGA